TAGAGTGACAATTGAAGCTTCCTCGTTCGTGCTTCGCATATCATCGATTCCCACTGTACGTGGGACGTACCACTTTTTAAGCTGCTTGCCACGTCCAATCTGTTTTGGTCTCTCGAAGATCAGAGACTCGCAATCTTTCATACGCTGGTGTACATAGGTCGTTGAAAGGCGGGGTGGGGGGGAGGGGGGGAGGTGGTACGGAGTTTCACAGCAGTGTGTTTGGAAGCATTCCTTTTTTGTGAACTTTAACACTTACGCGATTCTATTGAAAGGCGTGTGCTGGGTTCTCATTCAGGCAAGGGGCATGAGAGTAGAGAAGGTTCATCGTATGCCACCCCTCTTATATGTAAATGTATGAGGCACATTTTTTTCCACCTCCTATTACGTAACTAAGGGGCAGCAGCCCTCCTGCCCTGATCCCCCATCCTTTCGTGCGCATGCCTATGGTCTGATTACTGTGAGATTACACTATAAGGCTATTTAGTGGTTTACATACAATACAGTCAGTAATACCTTTGCACTGAAGCCATTAAGGCAGCGTCAAGTTTTCATGAATTACGAGCGTCTGAGCGTCTAGAGACATTCGTGTTCACTCTCCAACACTCAAAAACCAACACACCGTTTGCTGCGTAATATATATTGGCTGCGTTGCTTTTGCACACAATGGGATATGTGCCGAATGGCGGCATAATATGTGGACGCGTTGCTGGACGTTTCACCTGTTTCGTGCCATGGGCTGTCGTTTTTCACCGGTAGGGTGCACGTAGGAATTGTCGGCGGCAATCAGAGGCGTAGGCAGAATTTTTAAAGACAATAGTCTTTCTTGGGGAGTTTCTACGCAAACTTTTCGTCTGTCTGTCTGTCTGTCTGTCTGTCTGTCTGTCCGTCTGTCTGTCTGTACCCTTGTGTGTTTGTGTGTGCTAACGATATCCTGAACGGCACCTAACAATACGTCAAACGGCCAACACCCTACGCAGCGCCCACCAATATTGCTGAAGTTTCAGCGTTCATACTTGTGCGAATGTGAATTCAGAAGTAATTATTCCACATATCTGAGGCACCATAATAACACGTCTATATTTTTTATGTGTCGTTTTATACTCAAAAGAGCACACATAATAATTCTAAGGACCGTAGCGTTTATTACGCTGCGCTGACAGTGCAACGCGATGCTCGTAAAGGCAAGAGTTTCCAACAATATGCTAAACGACATGGTGGTGGCACCTGCCCGTCGCTTAGCGTTCTACACCTTATCGCCTCCGAGAAAGGTGCACATCTTTCTACGTGAGCGCGCATGCCTTCCTCGGTTTTGAAGATAACTGCCAGATGACGCTCGTGTCTAACGTGCCTCGATGCGCCCGTTCACCTTCGCTGCACTGATCGAGACTCTCTAACGCAGCGCTTCCAGAAAACATTTCACCGATTTTCTCGCACAGAACATCAAATAAACGTTTTGTTCGCTCTCTCCACACGCAAGACTACCGTCTTTCGACGACATTTACTGTTAAACATGCAGATACTGGGTCGATTTCTTCGTGAAGGCTGAGGGGGGGGGGCACCTCCGGTAAATGGTCATTTTTCGCTCTGTATGTCATTGCAAAAAAATTATATAGAAGGGTAGGGCACGGCCCGGTGTGCTTTCGCCTGGCTATGCCACTGTGGGCTAGGCACCTGTGCTAATCATAAGACGAAAAAGCAATATGCCAAGCAGCCCTACGCTAAACCTTGTAGCATGAACTCTGCCACTATGTACATCAATGCTTAAAAGAACGTGACCAGTGATACTATATAGATTTTTCGCTCCTCCAGACTTTTCAATTATTTGAGCTGTCCTGGCACGTGAATGCAGAAGCCTCCCTCAATAATTTTCAAAGCGCCAAAGAAACGATCTGACTTATTTCAGCTCTGATTGCGGACAATAGAGGGATCATGCTGCCGTGAAAGTTGCATTTTATGATACAAGAATTGAGGCAGTATAACGGCAAATAGTAACTATTTAATACAATTGTAGTTTTGGCTAATGACACACAGATATGTATATACCGGGTGTTCAAAATTAAGCTTTATGATTTTTTTAAAATTAGGCGCTCGAAGGCACGTGAGAACCACTTGTGCAAATAAGTTAAGCGGCCAGGGGGACAGAAAGTTAGATGATAATTATCGCTGTCAGCAGCCCAATTAACTAAAATTTAATAATTAACTTTTTACTGGCTGCGGTAAGTTGGCATGTTTATATTGAAAAAATGTAGGCAGTGGTGTTTGTACACAGTTTCAGTTGGAAGATTTTTTCTAGCACGCCTGTGTTCCGAGATATCCGGCTCCAAAGTTTAATTGTCTTTCGCACGATTACGCATGCAAGAGGGTGAGGGTCCGCGCAAAGCTCCTCCCTAAAGTGACGCATCTGTTGCGTGTGGTGTTTAGTGTGTGAAGAGGGTGGAAGCGTAGGCATAGGTGACAGCAATTACCCTTGCCCTCTTCGGCCGGCGAAATCAAAATGTGACAGCGCGGTGCGCCATGAGCCTTACGCATGATCCTGATGAACGCGATAACAGGAGACCATTTTTCGCGACGTTTTTTCGTGACTTTAGATCACACTGAGACATCTTCTTGTGAACGCGTTAGCAGGACCGTCCTGCACTAGGGTGCCTCCGGTTAGAGCACAGCGTCTCTGCATTGAAGGTCTACCAAGGAAATCCACGTGGAGTCCTTTCGAGCTAATATGGCTGCTTCTGGCGTGAGGTATTCTACCAAAGTAAAAGTAGACGTGGTGCTTGCAATGGCTGAAATGAATGGCAACGCTTCGTTAGCAATGGAGCTTTACGCGTCTCGCCACCCACACCGTCCCCTTCCAACAAGGCCCACTTTCACAAACCTGTTTCGACGCTTCTGCACAACAGGCTCTGTCCACCTTCCGAGACGGACCAGGAAGGCAATCGTCGATGAAGACTTTGAAATCGACGTTGTCGCGTGCGTAACCTCGATGCCAGAGCTCAGCATCCGACAGATTGCCGATCAGTGCGGTCGCAGCATCGGAACAGTCACAAATGTTTTAAGAAAGCACAAGTTCCATCCATATCACGTTTACCTTCATCAGGACCTAAATGAGGCGGACTTTGAAAGGCGAGTTGACTTCTGCAATTGGGGCCTCATCAAAACTGATCAAGAAAATGACTTTTTGCACAGAATAATTTGGACTGATGAAGCTCGGTTTTGCCGAAATGGAAGTGTTAATCTTCACAACGCCCATTATTGGGCACAAGAAAACCCACACTGGCTGAGGCAGCACAAGCATCAAGTTCGCTGGAGTGTGAATGTGTGGTGCGGCATACTCGGGGACAGGATCATCGGACCTCACTTTTTTGAGGACAACTTGAACGGAAAGATGTACACAGAAGAAATATTAGGTGTTGTCATTGATGATCTTGTCTGCAGTCTTTCCCTGAATGACCTGCGCCAAGTATGGTTTCAGCACGATGGAGCACCACCACATTTTTCTACCAGGGCGAAGAACTGGTTGGACAGACGTTTTCCACAACAGTGGATTGGGCGCGCAGGAGCGATGTTTTGGCCACCAAGATCACCTGACCTTTCTCCGCTCGACTTTTTCCTTTGGGGCTACGTTAAAGATCGAGTTTACGTAACAGAGCCCAGCGATGTTAATGACATGAAGGACAGGATAACATCTGCCTGTGCGAGTATTCCTGCAGAAGTACTGCGCCGAGTCATCGAGTCGACGCGACAGCGGTTCATGCTTTGCGTTGCTGCCGAAGGCAGGCATTTTGAACACTTTTTGGGGCATTGACGTCTTGAGAGGTGAAGAGTTTCGATGAGATTTGTGCATGACCGAAATATGCTTATGTAGCAGCAGGAAATATGCGTTAGCAAGGATAAAACTGTTTCAGTTATTATTGGTGGAGTTGTTGCTCTTGTTTCAATAAAAGTTACAGTACTCGGACATCAGCAGTCACGCTATTCGCGTAGCCCAGGCAACGACCACGCATGCTTCTCTAGTGATTATTACGCACGCGCACTGGCATCCAGATTCTCCGCTCGCACCATTATCTCGGCATGGTATCTGCCACTATCGTTAGAGGCTCTGCAGTTGCGTGTTACGACACTGGTTGCAAGCGTTCTTCGATTTTTGATTTCGACGGCCGAAGAGGGCAAGGGTAATTGCTATCACCTATGCCTACGCTTCCACCCTCTTCACACACTAAACACCACACGCAACAGATGCGTCACTTTAGGGAGGAGCTTTGCGCGGACCCTCACCCTCTTGCATGCGTAATCGTGCGAAAGACAATTAAACTTTGGAGCCGGATATCTCGGAACACAGGCGTGCTAGAAAAAATCTTCCAACTGAAACTGTGTACAAACACCACTGCCTACATTTTTTCAATATAAACATGCCAACTTACCGCAGCCAGTAAAAAGTTAATTATTAAATTTTAGTTAATTGGGCTGCTGACAGCGATAATTATCATCTAACTTTCTGTCCCCCTGGCCGCTTAACTTATTTGTACAAGTGGTTCTCACGTGCCTTCGAGCGCCTAATTTTAAAAAAATCATAAAGCTTAATTTTGAACACCCGGTATAGCAACCGGAATGGTAATTTTTGGGGTTTCACTCTTTTGACAGCGAAACTATAAATGCTATGCTATTTACATGCCATCATTTTAAATACAGCAAGGAAGACAGTATGGCCAATACAGTAAGGCTGTACGGTCACACTGCTCCATTCTCGCTCCTTGCGCTTATGCCGCTCCGAGTTCCACTAACAGTGCCTCCCCCGAACGATGGGTGGCTCTCTATCAATACGCAGGCTGACAGGCCACGATGGGGCATGACAACCTCACAGTAATAAAGAAAATAGTTTAGTGGTCTTGAGGTGCCTTCAATGGCAACAACACGATGACCATGAAAGGCGGAGTGGTACCATCACTTTGTATCCTATTTGCGCGCAGCAGGTACGTGACTTGCTAAAGTACAATATTACTCACCGAGATGCAGACTTGGGCTGTTAGGGTGTGTTCGAACGGCGTCAAGTGTTTCTGCATCCCAGGTAGTGATCGTATTGGACTCTAGGTGAATGCTCTTTATAGCAGGAAACTGTTTTGGATTGAATCCTCTTGGAATTTCAGTGAGTTCGTTTCGCCTGCACAGAAATATGGAAGAGCTGGCAGTTTCTTACAGAAAAACAATAGCAGTCTTTGCTGAAGACTGAAGTGAGATTCATGATAGGTGATTTCGAGGCACGCAACATTGTAGCAGCTGAAGAATTCTCACATGGACATTCCATTACCCAATGTTATAGGTCTCCTTCTATTGTTTGCAGATGTGGGTCATCATCACAGGAAATGCTTAAAATATAACAGATATACAAGAATACGCAATTACATTTACGCAGGAATTCAGCAATAATTACTCTCAAGAGTACTGCATTGCTGCACTAGTATTACTGGTACAGTGCATTCGTACCTCGCGCTCTGCAAGCCAAACTTAGCTCCATGGGCTCCTTATGTTAACTAAAAGGCCTACAGGCTTAAAAACTGAGTTATATACAATACACAACAGCTGTCCTGCACACACCGGAGCATTTTCGATCCCTGCAGTGGTCAGGAGCTTACCTGAGGAGTATCGTTTGCAGAGAAGGTGCTGGATTTGGCAAAACAGACCACGAGAAATTACTGAATCTACTGGAAGTGATATCAAACTTTTCTAGGTTCGTGAGTCGAGCGAGTGCGCCATGTTCCATGCTCGAGACTGTACACTCCGTGATGAATATGTCGCGAATACTCTGTGGCAGGTTGTTCCAGTCCTGATCGATCGACACTACCTGCCTCTCGAAGCGCAGCGATATCAGCGAGACAACCTCCTTGAGAAGACTCCACGACTTCGGCAGGGTGCTGCCTCTCAGGAATACCAGCTCGACCAGTGTACCGTTCAGTCTTTCGAATGCATTGGGGTGTACTGCGTCGAAGTTGTCGATGTGGACTTTGTTCAGAGTTACGTTAGTGGCTGCCAAGTCGGCGAATGTGTCGACTGGTAGGTGCTCAAGACGACTCTCGGATAGCATGAAGGCATGCTTGCTGTGCTCTGGACGGATAATTTTCGTGGCTAGTTCGGACGCTGTCGTAAAACCTCCGCAGTTGAAAAAAATCCGTCGTGGCTCCGATTGAAACTTCTGACAAGAAGGTTCCGCAAAGACGAGGCGCACACTGAAACACTGCAGCAGCAGTAGCATCCAATAACTGAGCAACATATTCGTGGCTGCTTACTGTGAAGAGGTTCAGCTGACTGAAAAACATGTAGCGGGACGCTCTTATATACAAGTGCATACACTCGTTATCCATAAGTCGCGCCGCTCCTGAGGAGTATCAGAAGCCAGGAAAAGAAGTCTCGCCATTGAGCTTTATTTTAGCGTCTTTCTCGCGAAATTCAACACGCCCAAAGCTTTCAACGCTCCCGCCAGATTGCTAGTAATCAGATTTCCGGGGCCTTGAACCACCTCTCTGCCCTTGATAAGGCCTTCCCAGTGGCCCCTACATTACGAGAATATCTGCAAGCAATGACGTTGGGATAGATCAGCTACTTTTTAACTACATATATCCCCGAGGTTAACACAGCAGCACGTGACCATGTAGCTTCTCGCATTTTCGATTCACTTTGTCACAGAAGCTATCAATACAAGTATAGGAAAGATAAAAGCGAAGAAAAACGCGAGCACATACAATGAATTGCTGACGCACCGTATTACCGTAACCAAGTATATTGCAATGAATGAAACGAAGGAACAAATTTTTATATGAATCTAGGCTTTAAGCGGACGCTTACTATCAAGATGGTATTAAAATTGGCCGCTGTCTATTTGGGAAATCGCAGCTTCGTGAGGACCTCCCGGAACACGTATGTTATCACTAAATATTAAATTTCAAAAACCCACCCTATTGCAAAAAACAGCGTCCTCAGCATGATGCAAGTACGTTTTTTGGCACTGGTACACGCTGGAGACACTGGTACACGCTTGTAATCACTGGAACTTCGCTGGGCGCACTGAAAAAATGCTGTGTCGCACTGGTAGGGGCGCTGGTTTAATTGCTGTGATGCTGGTGCACACTGCGAAGCGCTGGAAGCGCTGGAATTTTCACTGGCAAGTGATGGTCAATATAATGGAGCACCAACCGTTTCTGCCAGCGCAGCATGTACGTTGTTGTAGAGTGTACCGTCGTATGTTTCAGTGTCGTTGAATATAAAACGCTTGCTTCGACGGCATGGAGAGATGCTACCCTAACAGATACCGAGCATACGTAACTTTTGCGGCGCACGTACGTTTCACAGCAATTATATTGCACCTTTTTCCCATGTGCCCCCACGTATACCAGCCATTTTCGTATCAGCCGTGTATTGCTGTAAATATTGCAAGTGGCAGTACTTGTAAGCCTGCAGCTGCACGCCACTCCTAACAGAAACGGGACACAGTTTTTGCTGCCAAGCTGACGAAACGTAATTGAGCTCTCTCGATCGCTTCGCAAGGTTTCCCAGTGGAGGCGAGAAAAAAGCTGTCGTTAAATTCCGCCACACCACATAAATGGATGTCTGGGCACGCTTATTCTTTTACTTACTTCAGGTAACAATTATAAATGTTCGGAAGCTCAAAAGCAGAATCTTCAACCATCCCAACTCACTGCGTCTAGAGCGGTCTTACCACGTGCCAGGCCAAGCGAGCATTATCATGCCGGCCGCATCGGGTTATATGTTACCGGCGCTTCTTGCTACCTGTACACACAATATTAAAGCGTGAGAATAACTGTAAAGTATAAATTAGACATCCATGAACCTAAATCAACTATTTTGCATTGTGTCGATGTTCGCACAAGGAGCGCTGACGATAGATGCGTTGAGCTTTCTGCTACGCAGGTTGTCATCGAAAGCTGCCGGCTGCCTTTAGCCGGTACTTTTCTGACTAATAAGTAAGAACACACAATTTCCAGTTGGTAACTTGGTACGGCTTCGTGAACTGACACCCTGGCATACGTTTTCAGCGGATTGCATTAGTATTATTTGGGTGCTTCTCTTAATTGTTGGTATTGATATAACTGCGTATATCTGTACACTGGCACGCCCGCTGTATACCGCCAGCGGAGGCCAGAAATACGGCCGTCGCTCGGTATCGCCACTCCGTAAATGCATGTTTGGCAATGATTGACCTTCTACTTACTTCAGGTACGGCTTAGGTGACAGTTATAAATGTTGCAAAGCTCAAATGCAGAAACTTCAAGCACCGCAACTCAGCTGCTTCGAGAGCGGCCTTACCCAGTGCACCGTCCCAGTGAGGCACATATTGTGCCGGCCCCGTCAGCTTTTTACTTTGAGTAGGCACAACTCTAAAGTGTAAGGATGACTGCAAAGTACAGTTTAAACATACATAAGGCTAAATCAATCATTTTTTCACGTGTGCGGTGCTCACACAAGGAGCGGTTGCAATCGATGTGTCATGCTTTCAGCAACGCAGGCTGCTACCGAAAGCTTCCTTCTGAGCGCAGGAGCCGGTAGTTTTCTGACACGTATGTAAGAGCACGCAATTTCGAGTTGGCAATTTGGTACGGGTTAGTCAACTAACATACTGGCATACTTTTTCAGCGGATTGCATTGGTCATTTCTTTGGCGGTTTATTAGTTGCAGGTATCGATATAACTGCAAATATGTAATCTGGCACGCCGGATGTGTACTGCTACACCGTCGCTTGCGTGAAAAAAATACTCAATATTAACTCGTGTGCGCAGATATCTACCGAACACGACATATTAAATCATCTGTACATGTTGACCAGTAGCAAGTGTGATACCGGCTATGAAAGGAAAAAAAAAAAAAACTATCGGCAGCAACAGCCGACAATCGGTGGTTGCTCCTCCAGTCAATTAGAAATTTTTCAGAGCTAAGACGTGGATGCTTCAAAAAACTTTGCGCTCTTGCTAATATCTGCACGTCATTCGGTGCCCGGAAGCCGTTCATCACTGTCGAATCAAGACGCAATTGTTATTAGGAAATGAGTATCGCGTCAATCTTGACTCTGCGACTTGCAAACATGAAGTCGAACGGTGCGTTTTTTGGATAGATAGTTATTTTACAACCCACCATGTACGTTCTGGCGTGGCGCAGTGGGTAGTGTACTAAGATCGTAAGCAGGAGGTGGCGAGTTTAAATCCCGTCAGGAGGCGTTTTATTTTTTCCATATAATAATTTGTTTACTTTTTAATGTAAGTGCGTGGTATTTTGCTTATATATTTATTTATTTATGGCGAATGGGCACCTCCGTTTTAACCCTGCCAAGCCATTTTGCGCAGAGTACTGGGACGCTGCCGCTCCAGCGCCCCAATACCTGCGCTGGGAGGCGCTGGTACCAACGCCATACTGGGCCCATAATCAGGCATGGCGCGGGACGCTGGTACCCAGTGGGGCTGGTTTTTGCAACAGGGCACGTATGAGGCTTCGACTGTTATGCAACGCTGAAAATTTGTCCCGCGCATCTTGAGAGTAAATAGGGTGGTCTATTCAAAATTGGCAAGATCATGACTATGCGTTTTGGTTTATAATAATAATTCACAATTAGGATAGACGAAAGCTATCGCGAACATTACGCTGCCGTCACGTAAGTCATAAGTCTATCATAAGTTTATTCAAGTTTATCCACCAAAGAACCGCTTAGCCATAAAACTAAAATATTACCCTTACCTGTGGTTGACAACCTGCTGCGCACTTGTCAGTTTCGTTTTTTGCATTTTTAACTTCCTAATATGCCTGTACATTTTAGCAATAACTGTTTGGTTTTTACGTTCGGAAACCACAATATGATTGAGAGGTAGCGTTGTGTAGAGCCCTGAGTTTGGCCCACTGTAGCTCACTAACGTGCACTAAAGTCTAACAATACAATGCTTTAACAATTTGCCTTCATCTAAAAGAACCGCCGAAGTGAGGATTCGATACCGCTAACCACGGTTGAGCCACAAGAAGTCATCCCAACTAGGCTACTGGGATGGGTTCGCGCACATCTCGAACTGTTGTCAGCCCTGAACGAATGAAAAAAAGCAGGAATTCAAGAGCTCGTTCTTATTTTTTTGTTTTACACGATAATATACCGAACTAACAAACGATAATAACCAGGAAAGTTAAGGGGACGCTATGAGCAGTAACTTAAATGTAAGAGTGAAGAAAGAAAAGACCACAAAAGGATAAATTGATGCCGGCAGTAAGTGAATCGGCCACATCAAAATTTTAGAACTTCTTGCTGGGTGAGCTGGCGCCTAACTCTGATGGAAATTGTTGCGCGTTATATCAGATAAACACAGGGGGCAAAGACAGAGTAAACGTTTACTCCATCTTTTACCTCCTGTCTTCGTCCGATCAAAGGCGCAATGATTCCAATCGAATAACGTATCTGATGTTCTACCAAATGCAACCGAGCGCTGGTCATTCGTCCGTCTATTTTATGCGATATATCAACATCATAATAATTATTATCCTTATCCTGGATAAGCCCATTGCAGAGAAAAGGTATCTCCCGTGCTGCGCCAGTCAACCCCGTCAGTGCTTTCTGCTACCCTGTCGTACCTTCAAAGCGATAAATGATCACTGTAAGCATAAAAGACAAGAATAGAGCAGAGTGGGCCATAGAATAAATGGGGGTTGAGGGCATCATAGTTGGAATCAGGAAGAAGAATCAGACATTAAACTGGCAAGTAATGAGCAGGCAGGATGAACACTGGCCATTAAGGGTAACTGACTGGAATCCAAGAAAAGGGAAACGTGTGAGGCGTGTATAGAAGGTTAGGTTGACAGAATAGATGGTACATATGTGCATATTGGTAGCGATGGAGTAGTGGCTAGAGTATCAGCCTCACGTGCAATAGGTCTGTGGTTTGATCCGCGTTGCTGCGAAATTCCTCTCCTGGTTTAAATGAAAATTATCCACGTGAGAAGAAATTCTATTAAGAAGCCTGGGATGCGGCCTAACCGGTTACCACCACCGGTAACGCACATCATCATCAGAGAAGAACTGACCACCCTGGTGCAGTATCTGACCACTACCTCACACATGATTACGCCAGTTAACCCTGAGCCCTCAGTACCCAGTGGCTGCGAAAAAACTGACCCCGCCGGCAGTCAGATCTGCGACAATGCAGAGGGTGCCAAAAATATCTGGGTCCGTTCAGACCGTAATTAGACCCGGAACTTCGCAACATTTCATTCCATACCCTAGTGAGGCAAGTATAGCCACGCTATTCGAGGCAATAAAGGGTTTAAATGGGATGTAATAAGGCTCAGTGAGGCTAAGAGGACAGATGAG